CCCACCCTTGCCACTGTGCAAGCCGGGCAAATCCAACGCGCAAACGCACCCTCCCCTCTCATCCCTTCCATGACTCAACCCCAAACTCGCTCACCCTCCCGACCGACCCTCGCGCTCCTCCAGCAGCCCTGCCCAGCAGCCTGCTCCGCGGCGCGGAGGACATCAACCCCCTGCCCAAGTACGTGGGCAACATCCTCTGCTGCTACGAATAACTTTTGTTCGTAACAACGCTCGTGTTATATTTGAAACAAATGAATGCGATACTCGTGACAGCAGACCAGATAATGAAAAGTACACATGTGTTGTACTGACAACGGAGGACGATGAAATGTGCAGAAGGGCACACGACAATCGTTGGAGGTGGTCACGCTGCACACTAACACACACTGCCACACACGCGGAGGTACACAACGTGACACTCGCGACGCGGCGCGTAACGTTACGCGAGGCAGCGGCGGCCGCGGCGTGCAGCGATCGGGACGGACGGCACCGGCTTACTGACTGACTCGCCTGAACTCACAACACGAACGGCCTGAACGAGCCGACGTCTGCCCACCGGCAGCGCGCCGGGCCGGGCCGGGCGAGGGAGTGGGAGAGAGAGGGGAGGAAGGAGGAGCTCCCATCAGCTGATCCTGTGGCAGCAGGGCGAGGGGCGGCAGGCAGCCAGGCAGTGCCCGGTGGAGGTGGAGAAGGAGGAGGAGGAGGAGGAGGAGGAGGGGGTTGTGCTTCAGAGGGTGGAAGCACCACACGAGCGCGTCAAGGGCGCGCATGCGAGAAGGGAGGGCACATCAAGGGAAAGGGGAAGGACTGGGGGAAAACGATGAAGATAAAGAGAACGGGATTCATTGACTGGCTGAGCGAATAATCAAATGGATTGATTGCTTGGCTCCCCGGTTGAGCAAGTCCCGTCCGCGGGCAGGGCGGGGCAGCCACGGCGGCCACGTGCCAGTCGTGGTGCAGCGGCACCAATCGAGCGGAACTCAACCGGACGGCGCGAGCCGCAAGTGACTGGCGGTGCCTCAATCGCGCGTTATGTATCATCGCTGCCCCGCCCCCCGCAGGAGCCCCTGGCAGCCGCAGCCGCACACGCGACGCGTGGTGCTGAGGGTGGAGGCTGCACCCTCCTCCTCCTTATCGCCGGCCAGGCCCTGCTACTCCTCCTGTTAGTGCTGCTACTTGGACTGCTCTAGGAAGGCACTTAGCCAACCCTCCTCCTCCTCCTCCACTTCGCCCGGTGCGGCACGCGAAGTGCGGTGCGGTGGCCAGGAGGCGAGCAGCAGTAACCATCTCCCATTACGCGCCGAGACTGCGCCGCCGCCGGGGGCGGGGCGGGGCGCGTCTGACCACAAGCAGCCTGCTGCTGCAGAGGGCCGGGGCGGGGCGGACCAGTCGATATGTTGTTGAACGGTCGGTGAGGCCTACCTCCTTTCCCCCAACCCACCTCTCCTAGAGGATAAGATCTTCAAATATATTTCTCTTTTTTTACGCCAGGCCTAGAGGATCGTCCCGGCCAGGACCGCTACTTATTGCCGCACCCGGGCAGCTCCCCCGTCCACCGCTAGGGCCGCGAGGCGAGGACTCGAGGCGACTAGAACTAGAAGGAGGTTAACGCTCAGCTCAGCCTGGCTGGCTGCGCCTGCTCCGCCGGCTCAGCTGCTTGGACACATGATGGACGCCGTGCAGATGTCACCGCCGCGCTGCTCCGCGCCGCCCGCCTCTCCTCGTCCTCGCGGGTCCATCCATACGGCCCCTCCTGAGGAACAGCTGGGCCCGGCCGGTGCCATCTGCAGCGCGTGTCCTGTTGGTTCGCATCCCGTCGGACCGGACAGGCCGCTGGACAGGGCGGCTGGCCGCTTGGACAGCGCCCAACCAGACGGACGGGTGGGCAGCACAAGCAAAGCCACCGGCTGATTGCCGACGGCCGATACGGACAGAGTACCCGGCGGGGACGGACCCGCCGCCGCGCGGCGCATCCGAACGATGCAACCCCGAATGTGCCACTTCCGGTCGAAGTGTGCAGCGCTGGCGGCGATACGGCGACTACTCGACCTTCCTTGTGCCCTTTCCTCCGCCCAAAGCCGATGCACCCATGCATGGCGGTGGACCCCGGGTACTCACATAGTCACACCGGCCGTTGTGAGGTGGTTCTCACCATGCTCCGTTGGGGTAAAGCCTCCCATAGTTCGAAGGTTATGACAATCACTCTCATATGTTTGAGGTACCCCCTGTCCACATATGTAGCGGCTAACTCTGGGAATCATGTGTACACACCAGCCCGAGAATCAGCGGGAATCAATGAGAATCACTACGGAAACCAACGGAAATCAATGAGAATCAATACGGGAATCAATGGGGATCTACGGGAATCATTGATTCCGGGAATCATGTGAACACTTGAATTCGGAGTTATTTCCCCCTCCCACATGTGTAATCATGTCACTCGGTTCCACCGCTGACGCGCCCAGCTCAGCGCAGAGGCCACAGCACAGACTGGCAACGCGCGTTCCGAATTTTTTCAGAGTGTTGTGCGAGGAGGTGTGTAACGTGGCGCGTCGTTTTGGTGCATCGACGTCGAGGACGTCGTAAAGTCCTCCTCCACCTCCTCCTCGCACCCCCGCCCCCTTGCCCCCGCTCTCTTTCGCAGCAGGAAGTTGAGACTGCCGTTGACGTTGGTCGCCAACTCGCTGCTGCTGCTGCTTGCTGTGGATCCGCGTGTGCAGTAGGAGGGTGGGGTGCGGCAGCGGTACGGACGGGGGGCTTCCTTCTCCTCTCTTTTATACGCACTCAGCCGGTTTCCGGCTATCCGGGAGGTGTGTCGTGGCGCTGAAATTTCAACTCGGCTGTTGATGTGCGCAAGTCGAGTTGTTCGTCGGAAGAGAGAGGAGAGGGCCCCCAGCTCGGTATGGTGCATTGCAGGACTGGAGCGCGACGGGGCTTGGTGCGGGGAGCGGCTCCGCCGCGGCGCCAAGTCAGGCAGTAAAGGCGCGAGCATTACCTTATTTTGGCCGCCCCCCTCGCCCCAGCCCCATCTCACTAGCCACGCGCCCGGCCGCGGCACCCGGCACCCGGCCCTCTCTCTCCTCACCGGGTAAACAAATTCCTGCCATCAGACGCACCAGCACCAGCAGCAGCAGCGTGGTGCAGATGGACGCCCCGCCGCCGTCGAGTTATGAACACGGACGCCTCACCCACCGTCCCGGGGGCGCCCCGACGCTCATTTGTCGCAGCACCTCTCTCTCTCTCTCTCTCTCTCTCCCCGCACCCTCTCGCTGCGTGTCGAATGGGTGGCCTGCCGGCCCGGCGCGCTTCAGGAGCGTGACGCCATACGAGAGGCAGCCGCCCGGCCGCGCACGTGTCGAATGGGAGGTCTACCCACCCGGCGGCGTGGTACGTTCAGAAATGTACATGCTCCAAAATTAAACCTTGAAAACTTCGTAAAACTAAATGTAAAAACTATCAAAAGAATTTTTCGTTTGAGTATTTTGGTAAAATATTTTTGAAAAATTGTGAATTTCCCCACATTAAACTTTAAATTTGGAGGTCTAAAAGGTACTCACTGTTGGCGGCGAGCCCGAGCCCCGTGCGGTTGTTGGCGCTGCTGGCCCGGCTCACGTCGCTGAGCGAGGACCTGGGGGTGGACGCCTGGCTGCAGGCCGCGCTGCGCTGGTCCGGGCTCAAGACGGGCGTCACGCAGGCGGACGAGGGCGACGGGCCTTCCAGGCGGTGGCGGCGGCTGCAGCGGGGAGAGAGACCATGTGAGACAACGAGACCAAGGAGACTATTTCGCTCTGTGCAGTCTCTCGAAATACAGGGTGGCACGTTTAAGTGGTTTAATCCGGCTGTTTGTTGCCATTGCCAATACTGTACCGCATGCAGTCATGCGGGCGTGTTTTATAGTCGCAAGAGCTCTTGCCCTATGGCCCTATGGCCGTAAGGCGCCGTGGTGAGCGACGATAGGCAAGCCCGCCCGCACGCGGTACAGTATTGGCAACAAAACGACCGGCGTAAACACACAACCCTGAACAATTGTACTATCGTGTTTTAACTCAGTATTAAGAGTGTGATGAGAAGAATAATGTTGCAACTGGTTGCAACTAATGATGCTAGAGAATGCGAGACGCACAATAATGGGCATTTTCTTTTCGTCTTGATTTTTTTTTTCAAATCAGTTTAAAAATGGTGATAGGAAGCGGTAGTCGGGGGACTGGCTACTGTTGCTGCAGCCCAGCCGCGCAGATAATTATTATTTCCACTTGAGATAAAGCAGGCGCCTATGAGCGGCGCGGACACGCCTCGTCTAGCGCCACTAAATCACGCGATCAGTGACCTCAACCAGCGCAAAAAGACAAAAGAAATACAAAACAGGAGCAGGCACAGAAAAAGCGAACCTACCTCTTGGGCTTTCGCTGGTCGGCGCTCCGCGGAGAGGACAAGGCCGACGCTTTCCTGGTGGCGTTGAGCGCCGTGATGCTGCTGCTCCTGGAGGCGCTCCTGGAGCCGCGCGCCGAGAGCGGGGCCGCCGGCTGCAGCGACACCCCCATGCTGGAGAGCACCTTGCCCTTCACGTCCTTGAGGCGCGCCAGCTTGCTGCTCTGCTCCTCCGCGTTGGACGCGATCTTCTGCATCACCGCCTCCCACTTCTTGGGCACGGGCTTGTGGGCCCGCTTGGGCGGCGCCGTGTTCTCCTGCTCGTCCGACGGCTTCACCGTCACCATCATGGCCTTCACCTTGGACGTCACGTTCCGGTTGGGCATCTTGTACTTTTTGATCTCTTTGATCGCACGGGGTTTCGGCGGCGACGACGCCACCGTCGCCGGTCCAGGTATATTCTGTTGCTGCTGCTGCTGTTGTTGTTGCTGCTGCTGTTGCTGCTGGTGGTGCTGTAGAGACTTGACCGTCACAAGCGACGTCATGGAGCCCGTGTCCTCCGCACCCCGGTCCTCCATGCTCTCGGCCTCGGCGACGGGCAGCATGTTCTTGAGCGTCTCGACCAGCTCCTGGTTGAGGCTGGCCAGCGTGCGGCCCTCCATGAAGTGCAGCGGCCCCTGCTGCGCGGGCTGCGAGGAGGGCCGCTCCAGGTCCGAGTAGATGCCGCTGGAGTCCATGTCCTCGCTGTGCTGCGGCTGCGGCCGGTGCGCGCCGCCCTGGCCGTTGCCGGCGCCGCCGTACAGCGTGCCGTCGATCACCTGCGCGAGGCGGTCGCCGCCGTGGCCCGCGATGCCCAGACGCTCCTCCTGCATGTCCGCGTCCGACTCGGTGAAGAAGTCCGAGTCCGTCATGGGGTCGACGGCGGTGCCCTTGATCTTGATGCCCGGGTGGCCCGGGTGGCCCGGGTGGCCGGGGTGAGGGTGGTGGTGGGCAGTGGGCGAGTGCCGGTCCGAGTCCGTCATGGCGTCGGCGCCCCTGCTGCCCGGCCGGCTCCACTCGCCGTCGCCCTGGTAGCCCGTGTCCAGGCTCGCGATGCTCGTGACGCTCGTGATGATGGAGTTGGGCGTCTTGCCGCCGCGGGCCGCGCGCGAGGGGGTGGCCTGGCCGGGCGTGCCCTGGCCCGGGGTGCCCTGGCCGGCGGGCTGCTGCTGTGCGTCCAGCGGCAGCTCCTCCACGGAGGGCGTGCGGTCCAGGCGCGCCAGCACGATGCCGCTCGTCTTGCTGGCCTCGCTCACGCAGTCCGACGTGGACATGCCACCGTCGCGCCGCGAGGACAGCAGGTAGTCCATCGCCACGTCGGCCTGCGAGGTGGGCGCGGCGTCCTGGGCCATCATGTCGTCCGGCAGCGCGTCGACGTCCATGCCCACGGTGCAGCGCAGGGCCGAGTCCACCATCTCCACCACCTGGTGCACGTCCACGTGCTCCTCCACCTCCATGCGCTCGTCCTCGTGCGTCTGGACGCCGCCGTGCTGGTCCAGCGCCGCGGCGGCCGCCTCCTCCTCGGGACTAGAGCCGTCGCAGACGGTGAAGCCGTCCGCCATCTGGTCGGGCGTGAGGATGCCGAGACTCTCGTCCAGGTCGAACGAGTTCTGCTTCTCCATGAGGTGCAGGAAGTGCGGCGGCTGCTGTGCGACTCCGTGGTGGCCGAAGTAGTGTCCAGGGCTGAGGTCCTCGCACAGACCAGCCGACGTTGGCGTGGACGCCATGCTCGAGAAGGCCTCCTGAGCAAAAGAAATACAGCACATTAGGCCTGGAGTCCTGGAAGTTGAAGCTGACGGCAGCTGCTCAACCCACCTTGTTGAGGTCGAAGTGCTGCTGTCGTTGCGGCTGTGGCTGGCCGTCGTGCCCCACCAGGAGGTCGATGTCGAGGATGCTGTGCGGGCCCGAGTCCACCTGGTCCAGCGCGGCCTGCGCGGGGCTGACGGGCACGCTGCTGCCGCCGTCGCTGCCCCCTCTGCTGCAGCCTCCGTCGTAGAGGCGCACGAGGTGCAGCGGGGCGAGCAGGCCGTGCAGCGGCGCGCACCGGAAGTAGGACACGCCCCGCACCGTGCCGTCGTGCTTGCCGTCGGGCTCGTCCAGCTCCACGCCGCAGAAGTCGCCCGACGCGAGCGCGATGGGCCCGAAGTACCTCAGCGTGCCCAGCTTCTCGCCCGCGATCTGCAGACAAGGCGAGCACTGCATTATTGTAGCAACGCGCGACGCTCACGGCCCGACCGGGCTCAGACATACGGACAAGACAATCAACCGAGTGGAAATCTATCAATTTTTCACGGAAAAATCCACAAGCGTGCGCACACTGAGGCGGAGGAGGCCGCGGAACGTAATCGTTCCGCAGCAATCCCGAGCAGCAGGATGTGCCGAGGAGCAGGAGGAGGTTCGTGCGGAGGAAACATCGACCCAACTCCCGGATCAGTGGCCGGGCCGGCGGGCGGCGGCGCTATCCGGCGCTAAAGCACGGCCAGCCCGCCGCCGGCCAGCCTGCCCACAGATCGGGAACTGAAATAACAACATTCTCGTATAGAAAGGCAACAAATGGATATCGCTTTTGGTTTCTTTGCTCCCCCGCCAACAGGTCAGGCGGGCGCAGGCGTGACTGCACGCTCTGATAAGCCCGTCGACACAAAGGGGAGTCAATGTGTCTGCGAGACGCGCGCGCACGCTTCCTCCGTCACCGTCGAGTTGCATATGCACACGTCCCGCCGTCATAAAAAGCACGGCATGTCCATCCTCCTCAACCCTCTGCCACCACCGCCACGGTCAGCCGAAGGTGACATCTGCTCGCCGCGGCGATACCCCGCGCGGGACGCGCCGAGTATCATCGCTTCGCCACTCATCGGCAGAGAAGTGGAAAGCACTCGAGCAGTACGTTACCTGGACTCTGCAGCCGACGTGTCTCGCCTCGATGCAGTCCGAGCTCCACACGTTCGCGGCCGCGGCGGCCACGGCCGCAACCACGGCCTCCGGCACCGCCCCGTGCTGCTGGGCCGCAACAGCTCGGTCCGAGGCCGGCGACGACTCCCTGGTGGTCGAGTCGATGACGGGCCTGGGCGCGGCCTCGGACACCACGGGCTTGGGGAAGCTGGTGGGCCGCGTGGGGCGTGAAGGCCGCGCGGAAGATGCTGCAGGCAGTAAACACACGTTTGGTTATTCCGCTCCACGAGATACGGCAGTAAAGTGCATCCGCTATAGAGGCAATTCGTTAAGGTCAGCAGAAAAAACACACTGAAGATTTAAAATTATTCACAACTCAAAAAAATTTGTGAATAAATTGTAAACGTTATTCTTGAACGACTTTTTGAAACATTGTATCGGAAGTGGATGATCTGCTCCACCCCCAGCTCGGTAGTGATATTGTGACTAAACAGCATGCGCATGTGCGGGCGGGTTGCCTATACTTGCTCGGACCGTAGCCGTAAGGCGCCGGCAGAGACGATAGGCTAACCTGACACCTGACCACGCACAGGTGCTAGCGGTGGAGTCAGTCGGTGGGGCAAATCAGTCATCAGGTATGGTACAAAATATTGAAGTAAAATGATTGTCTTCGAGAACTTATCAATTACTTAATTTTTTACGGGATTGGAGAGTCCAATATTTTTTTACCTGCAGCCATGCCCCTGGTGCTGGAGGCGCTGGCGGACTTGGTCAGCTTGTTGACGCGGCCCTGGCCGATGAGGCTCTGGCGCACGGCGGGCATGGCGCTGCCGGGGGCGGCGCCGCCACCATGCTCCGGGCCAGGGTCCGGAGTGACCCCTCTGCTCCGGATCTCGCGCCGCGTCGCCGTCGGCGACCCCGGCGCCGAACCCTTCAGCGACGACGAGGACGACGTCGTCGGCGACCCCGGTACGGAGCCGCGGGCGCGGGGCAGGCGCGACTCCAGCGACGTCGTCAGCCCGCCGTTGGGCCGCCGCGGGCCCGAGAACAGCGTCGGTATCCGACTCTCTCCCGGCGTCTGCGAAACAGAAAAACGCACTCGATGAGCCGGACTGCACGACGGTGTAAGTACAATGCGACTGTCACAGCCGAACGCCGGCCGCCAACTCGTCATCCGTTCGACAATAATCGTCGCGGGGGCCCCGGTGTTGTGCGCCGCGCCGCACTTGTTCACAGTCCCGCGCAAGCTTCCGGCTCGCGGCCCGCCCCGCCCCGCCGGTA